AAACAGCAAAAGCTTAAAATTAATTCTGTAGTGCACAGGGAGCCAATGAAGGGACGCCAGGATGGGAGTAATATGCTCGCGCCTACGCGCCTGAGTTAACAGGCGAGCAGCAGAGTTCTGCACAAGCTGCAGACGAGCAAGAGACGTCCGGCTAATGCCTGCATACAGCGCATTACAGTAGTCAAGACGAGCTGTGATAAAAGCATGGATTAATTTCTCCAAGTCAGGTCTTGCTAGGATTGGTTTCACTTTTGCTATTTGGCGGAGCTGATAAAAACTTTTCTGAACAACACTGCTGATCTGTTTTTCAAATTTAAAATCAGACTCAAACTTCACCCCCAGATTGGTGACACAGTCCTTGAGATAAAATGACAGTGAGCCAAGATCTATGCTGGGAGAGGAACGGCAACTTGGTCCAAACATCATAACTTCAGTCTTGTTCTCATTTAGACTAAGGAAGTTAAGAGAGAACCATGTCTTAACATCATTAAGGCAGTGTGTAAGTTGTTGAACTGTGTTGTTTTGTGCCATGGGAAAATAGATCTGGCAATCATCAGCATAAAAGTGAAATAAAATGCCATGCTTCCTAAAAATCGAGCCAAGGGGGAGTAAGTAAAGGGCAAATAAAAGAGGGCCAAGGATTGAGCCCTGGGGGACACCATGTGGAAGAGGAGCAGTGGAAGAGATAAAATTGTCGATTTTTACGCAGAAACTCCTATTTGTTAAATATGACCGAAACCAATTGAGGGCGACACCCCTGATGCCCACACAGTGCTCAAGACGAGAGATTAAAACGCTGTGATCAACAGTGTCAAATGCAGCAGACAAATCTAAGAGCACTAAAACAACAGACTTTCCGGAGTCTGTGGACAAGAATATATCATTTGAAACCCTCAAAAGTGCACTCTCTGTACTGTTCATAACTTCATCATCTTCATCTCCTTTTCCAGATCCTCCCAGTGCCGCCTGTAAATATTCTAACATTGTAAATAAATTCGCTTATCGTCTACGGACAGTTTGACTCTGCTCTGGGTTAGCCACCTCCACTGCGATTACAAGAGAAATCATTTTTGTTAACGGTAAATCTGAATGATGAGAGCTGGTTGACAGCTCTAAATAGCAGAATTAATTAAGTGAATTATTAACAATAAAACCAGAGGAAGAGAGGCTAAAATCAGCTAAACCACAGCCGAAGGGTAAAATTAACTAAACTGTAGCCGATAGATGGTTCAAGTGACGTAACGACGTGCCGAACATGTGATTCGTTTGTGGGCACTCTATCGTGGAATGACCAGGGATTTGACGTAGAAGATGGTGTTGGACAAACGTTCCTGCTTTTCCAAGAAGTAACTGTCTCTGCTAGAAGTTGAAGCCACCAGGAAAACAGCTCCTGTGTACCCATGTGGAGCGGATACTGGACTTGTCAGAAACAAATACCCCGTCAGGATACTTCACCAACAGAATGATGTGAATGAAATCCCTCTTGTGGACCAAACTGTGACTGTGAGCTGCACAACACGTGCCCATCTGTCGTATCATTTGATCAGGTTTGGTTAAACAAGTACTACAGGAACACACAGCTGTACATTTGATGTGTGTCAGGTGAACATGCAGCTAAAGGTCTGTGCTTTGTTTTACTGTAATGTCTGAATAAGCAACATGACAATCATTTGTTTTGAGTTTTTGGTCTGAATGAACATCAAGCTGAAAATTGACCAACTTTGAATCAATAGAAATTAAATTGATCTTTAGTGTGACATGATGTGCTTCTTTAAGATATTTTAATTTTGTGGAAAAACCTTATTTATTTTAGTCGAGCGCAATGTCTGCCTTGTCCGAGGTATTTTCTCGTTCGGTCCTGATGCAGTTGATGCTAGAAGCTAAATGCTAGCCCACAAAGATGGGACTCGTGAAAAAAAATGCCCGGATGATGATGTTAACGAGTCATCTGTGGCCCAAAGTAGCAAAACCGAATCTAAAGCTAGCTTTACTAAAACTGTCACAAAATGCTAAAAATCGTAAATTCTTAGATAAATGCGAATATTACCAAAACTATAGCTTAAAACGTTACTTAGCTAAACCATATTTAAAAAAATATATATTTTAGCAAACCACATATAAAAGCTAAGATTAGCAAAATAATAGCTAACACTAAAATTAGTAAAACTAGTTAAAAACTGGCTAAAAAGCTAAAATCAACAAAGTAAAGTTAATGCCAAAATAAACTAAGCCAAAGCTAAAAATAAAATCTGCTAAATCATAGCTAAAAGCTAACATAGCAACAAAGAAATATGTAGCCAAAGGCTTAAATGAGTGCAACCGTTTATAAGCTGTAATAAATTTAATTTCAAGTATCTAAACGTAACAAAATAGGAGCTAAAAGCAAAAATCTGCAAAAGTTTAACTAAAAGCTTAAAATAGCAAAACTGTTGTCAAAATGTAGTTAGCTATAATCATGCTAAAATTACTAAAATTGTAGCTAAAATGTGAAATACCAAAACCTAAACAAAAAAATTTAATAAATAAACCAAGCAGCTAAAGCTAAATATAGCAAAACTCTAGCCAAAAGCAAAAACTAGTGAAACAGCAGCTAAAAGCTAAAAGAAGCACAAGACAAAATAAAGCAACTACCGTATTTTCCACTGTATAAGTCGCATCAGTCAAAAAAAGCATCATGAAGAGGAAAAAACGTATATAAGTCGCGTTTATTATACATCACCGTTGACCCGTCACGCTTATTATGTGTTTATTTCATGGTCAAAACAGCTTAATTTAGCCTGGGTGGCGCAGCACCATTCATCCATCATCCATCATCCATCGCGGCTGGAGCCACTAGCTCTCCAGCGTTCCTCCGCCTGCACCAGCTGAGTGAAGCGAGCGCACACGGGAGGACTCGCTGTTGCAGTTCTTAGAAATTTAAAGCATCAGTCAAAAAGTGTGTTATGAATATGGGGGGTTATATAAGACGCTTCGGCGTATAAGTGGCAGTACTAACAAATCTATGCAAAAACTGTGACATATACGCCGGGAAATACGGTAGGCATGAAAAGACAAGATTTTAAGGAACTGAAGAGATCTCAGTGTATTTCTATGGGAATTGTTTTTTGAAAAAAGTTAAATAATTTAAAAAGTATAAAAGTTACAAAAACTAATAGTAAAAAGCTCATAAACATTTTTGATAAATGGTTAAATTAGGACAAACCGTGGAGGTTTGGTTGCAGAACAGAATAGAGAAGAAACTATAAACTTTAAACCAAAAGTTTTTATTCTAAACCTGCCTCTTTAATCCGCAGAGTGAATGCAGACTCCTGCCTCCCTTCCCTCAGCTGGCGACCATTATCTCAAATATTTCAGCCACCTGGTGAGCCTCAAACCACAACCAACAAAAGCTAAAACTTTCCAACAACCTCGGCGTTCCTTTGATGTTGGAAGCAGAACGAGTTTAATGAGCTGCATTGTTTCGTCACAATAAAGCTCCAGATATTAGAACGCTGTTTGTGCTCTCTGAACATTTTCTTTTCTCTCCTTTAAAGTAAACACTATCACAGCTCAACGGCCTCAGAAAACAAGCGAGGTCGTCCAGCTTGGTGACGTCACGCTCGGGCCTCTCCTTCTGCAGCATCGCACCCTGAGGAAGCTGCGTTCAGCTGCTGGAGCCAACACTGAGCTCTGACTGCAGGAACGAGGCGACGTGCTCAGCTGACCAGCTGCAATTAGCTTCAGACAGCATGTCCTCCTCTTCCCGTTCATGCTGCATCAAAGGACGTGGTCTGACGGTAACCTCAGAGGCCGTGATCGAGCTGCAGCCGTCACGGTGTGTTTGCAGAAACACAGACTGTCATTCAGCGCCTGATTGACCTGCAGGGCAGCCGCCATAAACATTCTGCAAGATTCAGCTCAAAGTATCTCTGAGTTCTTATTAAATGGCTGTAAATCCTGCAGAGCTGCTTTTGAGTTGTTTTTGTTTTGTAATGTGCTAACTAGGAAAATCTGATGCAAAACTTGACTCTTAGCACATTATTTTATCATCAAGATAAAGGTCTGGATGGTAAACCTGAAGATTTTTCTTGTGAAATCGAAAGTTTGGTTTAAACTTTAGAGTTTCGAGTGAGAATCAAACAACTTGTTTGCAAAATTTGGAAAAAGCTGCTGCCTTGAGCGGCCTCCTGACTCCAATTCTCAGTCAACCAGAAAAAAAAAAATGCAACTGGACTCGAACTACTTAAAGGACATGTGAGGGAGAGTGATTTGCACGTGAGTTCATCTTAAAGGAAGCAAACTGAACCGCTCACTGAAGTTTAAAACATTAAAACTTTGAATTATTTTAAATATTTTACCAGACATACTCAGCTACTCAAATCAGTCCTCAGTACTTTGTAACACAGAACAAGGAACAAGAACCCAGCAGGGTTCTCGTGGCTCGTTGAATTTTAAATCAAGAACCAAACGGGATTAAAAACAAAACTTTTAGATTTTTCTAGATTAAACTGCAAAAAAAACAACAGCGCTTGCTGAGAGTCTCTTTATTGTTTGTGCCTCTTATCTGTGTGTTTTCATCCTGTAATTCAAATTTCAAGCGTGCACGGTCGCACAGAAGTTGGAGGAGCCAGAGAGGTAACCATGGCAACCAGTTTCAGCCACAACAAGAGGCTTTTTGTCCTGACGGACCGCTTTGCTGTGACTGGTCTCCATTTTCCTCCCCGTCTCCCTCATTTTGTCTATCACACAGACACACACACTGTCTTTATATATATATATATATATATATATAAGTTTTCCAAGGGTGCACAGTGTCCGTGCACAGGGGAGTGTTTACAGGATGTTATCTGTGTCTGTGCCGGCCTCTCATCTCTCCAGAGTGGGGTTCGTTGGAATGCTGGAACGGGATGGAGGAGGAATTTCTGAAAAGGGGGAGTGACGAGAGACAAACAGAGAGAAAGGGTGAGAGAGAGAGAGAGAAGGAGGGAGAGTATAAATACATCCCAGGGAGGCTGGTGCTCACAGGCGCAGATAACTGGACGGCAGAATAACTGGACTGCAGCCCATCAGAGCACTTAACTAAAACAAGTAAGTTGTTTTTTTTAATATGTACATATATATTACTGCTTCAGCATCATTTAAAAAAAAACTCAAGAAAGAAAAAAGAAAGGAAAAAGAACGAAATAAAGAAAGACTAATAATAATTCATATAGAATTTAAAGGTAATAATAAATAATATATTAGCTTTGTTTAAGTGCAGTCCTGGGGTGGGGGGGATGTGGTTTTCTGTGGGACTTCTGTGGTCTTCCCTAAAGCTCTGTAAGCTCATGCATGTCACTCTGACCACTTCATCAAGTGGAACTCCCCTTTTCTCTTCTAGAAATATAAAGAAGAACCTTTTTTTATTTTGGTCGTTTGTTCCACAAAAGCATTTATTTGTATTTATAGACCTAATCTACTTCCTGTTTTGTTAGAATGGAATTCAAATCTGTCACGTCAAATTTCAAATGTTGCACTTTTTGGTTGTTGTTCCATCAGCTGGTCAACGTTTGTTAAAGGAATACTGATGACGAGGTTTAAGTTAAAGACCTGAGTGTTAGAAACAGGATGTAAAATGACACCACCGGTCTCGTCTCTGCAGCATTAATTGGTGAGCTGGTTTTGTTCTTACGTAAACTTGCATCTTTATTTTTGTACTTTATGGTTGAACTTAAAAAATAAAATAAACGAGATATTTAGAAGAGTTTGAGTTGAGGTTGTCATGACGTTGTGTTTCTGAACAAGTGTAGTGGTGAAGATTTTCTCCTCAGACTTGGGTGTGTCTTTTTCTGAGCAACATATGGGCTCCAGCTAAGTTAGGTCATCCCTCTGGAGTATTTTATATAAAAAGCCCATCATCATCATCATCATTGGTGTAAAATCTGCTTTTTGCTCGTGTTGTGAACATCTGTGTTTGCTTTAGGTCTTGGCTATTGTTAAAGGACATCCCAAAGGGCCCGAGCTGCAACGTTGTGCAATAATTCACATTATAATTCATAAGTAAACAGGACACGTTTGATATTTGTTCTGCGTTTCTGTCCTCAGTGCCTGGTTTGTTTACCTTTCTGAGCTTTTTGTAGTATTTGCCACTGCCACCAAGGTTTAAAAGGGAGTCCCTGTCATTAACCGAGGGCGCGGCATGAAACTGGATGCCAGCATGTGCTAACACGACCAACCGTTTCGTTCATCGTAGGGGATGTTTGCAGGAAAAAAAAGTCCTATTGTGGGAAAAAGGCTTAGAATCAGCTGATTAGATCAAAAACAGAGCTATGTTTCTTTTCTGAAATTTAAATAACTCATCATGAACTTTACTATAGTTTTTTTCTTCATGTTTCTTTCTCCTTTCAGGCCCCAACAAAGTCTCTGGAAATCAGATTAGATTTTGTTACAGAGACAAACTTAAAGATGACTGATGTGGTAGAATGGCTCGTACAAAACAGGGACAAGATCGAGAAAGGAGTGGAGATCATGGCCCAAGCCTCCAGCGTGCTGGCGTCCACCGTTGGCCAGCTTCACCCAGTCCTGGAGGCCGTGTTCCAGGCCTCTGCCATACTGCTGAAGGACCCGAACAGCGGCGAGGCCTCCTACCTGACGCAGCAGTTAACCAAAGTGAACGATCAGCTCTCGGTAATCCAAAATGAGATTGGCCAAATCGAGCTGGAGATGATGACGGCTTCGATGAACAAGCAGAACTTTGACTGGGAGGTTCACATACTCAGTCAGTTCGAGAAGTTCCAGGACTTTGTCAAAGCCAAGCAAGAATACAAGGCGAAGAAGAAGGAGAAGTTCATCACTCATTACGAAATCACGGGCCGTGACTTGAATGTAGAAGCCCTCTACAACGCCGTCATGGAGGAGAGCGCCACGCAAAAGTCGATTCTGGAAACGGTACTCGTCACCCAGGAGAAGAGCAGAAGGCCGGTGGAGGATTTTTGCGCTCGGCTGAAGAAGCTCTTTGTGGTCGGCATCATATCCATCATGGCCCACTCCGCATTCAAGGAGGAAACCGTGGACGCGGAGATAGTGAAGAAGTGGAAAGGCCGAATGGAAAAAGTGGAGGACAAAATGAAAGCAGCCGTGGACGACTGCATAGAGAACTTTGCTGAACAAGCCAAGGTGGACTTGAGCAAGAAGCTCGATGAGAACACCGGCCCCATCGATCCCGATTTCACCAAATCGCTGCTGGAGACGCTCACAAAGAAATACGACTGGGTGAGCTGGTCCATCCGTGCCTTCAAACACAGGGAGCGCATTTTCTTCTTCAACTGGTTGGCAGGGAAGAAGTACCACGGAAGCAAAGGCAACAACTGGTTCGATTTTCTGACCAAGAACAAGGTTAAAGTGGTGGTCTCGTTCTGCACCGAGCCCAAGCCCATCGACAAGAGTCGGATCCAGGAGCTGATCGAGCAGACAAAGCTGAACAGAAACATGATGTCGGTGGCGCTGGCTCTGCACGACGCCTTCCCCGACTACCTAATCCACGCTGTGAGCCACTACAAAACGGTGCAGGAGGCCAACAACTTCCCTGTGGAATGCCTCTACTTCACCAGATACAAAGGAGCCTATCTGTGTTTCCATTCTCAGTAGACAAATTCGCGAATCATTTACGGTTATATTCTTATATCGCTTCTGTGGATGTATAATCTGGGTTCTGTTGTGAGGTATTTTTCTCACAACTTTTTTTTTTTTAATTCTTCTTCCTGCCGTTGATGCAGCAACTTTAAAGTTTTAGAAATTTCAAGTCACACTTTTCCCTCGCCGTCCTTGTCTTCATGTTATTAGAACGATGTCTGAATAATAAACAGGTTGGGAGATCCAAGTCATGTCTTTGTCTGGTTAAATTAAATGTCAGTCTTGTTAAATTGTGTGTGGTAGCTGTTTAAACATGTCAAGCACTAGGACCATGAGGCGCATCATTCAGTGTTCCCTGCTCTCCTGCACCTCTGCAGGTACATGGTAACAGGAAGTCCCTGTCACAAAAAAAACAACAGATTTAATGTTGACTTCACATGGTGGTTTGTCCAGTTTAAAGCCGGGACATTAAGTATGAGCCCTTCATTAATCTGCTTGAGTTGAGAAGAAAAGAGTCAATCAAACTTTAGGATGGTAAAAAAAAAAAAAAAAAAAAAAAGACAGTCCTGTTCACCGAGTCCCACCTCTGCCCTCCACAAGTTTTTCAGTCTCTGTGTTCGTCAGTGTGAGCAACATGTAAACAATATTTAAATAAATAAAAAAACATACACAAAGGAGTTTCACTCTAATGTCCTGCCATTTAAACTCCTCTAGTTTTCACAGCTACAGAGTTTGCAAGAATTTATTTTACCCACGCAAGTTTTGTTTTTTGTGTGTGAGCAATTTTAAGGTGAAACATTAGCAGCTATTTGGACAAACGCTGTTGTTCGAACTGAATACAATTATTGATCCAGCAACTTTTTAACATTAAGCAAAAATTATTACAAAGCTGAATTGCTTCACAGGCGTTACAGTATTTTGTGTCCGGGTGCAGGAAATCCTAAGATTTTATACATAAAACCCTCTAAACCGCAGCCTGGTGTTTTATACATTGAGATCTTTTAAAGGTCTGGCCCATTCCTTCAGTTTTAAATTCACCTCAGAGCTTCTGGTTTTTAAGAAACAATGAACTGATAGAGATTTTCCTTTTTTCAGGGAATAAACTGCATTGGTCCTTTGATCAAAACTCCAGGACAGGTGAGCCTCAGCCAAGACTGTTTATTATTATTATTATTATTATTATTATTATTAGTGAATATTAGAGAAAATCAACTAAATATATTTTAAGAATTGACTAAACCTGATGGTGTAGGAAGTCATTCATATGCTTCAGGTCCTGAACAAAAACCATTCTGCTGTATTTGATGTACTATGTTGCTGCGGGGCAGAACTGTGTATTCAGCTACGCTCATTAGCATCTATATTTTTCAAATTAATTTGTAATAAACAACAAAGGATGGAAGTTTGAGTGTAAAAGGATCATTCAGGAATTCAGAATTGGGCTTTTATGGTAAAGCTATAGAAGTCACATCTTCCCGGCTGTAGTCAGAGTGAGTTTAAAACTCTTCTCAATTTAGTTTTCTGTGAATTCTCGAGCAGCAGAGGTTTGACAACTGCGTGGGAGTATGACAGAAAAACATTCAATGCTGCAGCCCTGACTGAAAAACCATGCTGATAAATCACAATTATTAAAATAATAATAATCAAAGCTGCCTATCTTCATGTGAAAAGTGTTAAATCATAAACATGGGGAAGGTGCCGGGGGTTATGAACCAGATACAGTTGTAAAATCTGTGCACGTATGAATTTTCAGAAGCTGCTAACGGCACGGCCGCTCGGCTCTGTGGTCACAAACAGAAACAGAACAAAGTGTTTCTGAGCAGTTTGGAGTTGCTGACTCGTCTCCAGCTTTCTGTGGGATTCATCTTGAGCTGAGGTAAAAACAGAGACATGGTTTCCACTCTTGGATGACAGAGGGCCTAAAGGCTGGAGGATTTATTATTATTTATATCCTGCACTCTTTATGCTGAGGTATCAATTCTTAATCAATTCCCCTGCTTTAAACGGCCGGAACATCCCTTTAAGTTAATAATAATAATAATAATGTTTATCAGAGAAACAGCATCATTCTGCTCACATCCTGTTTCTTACCACCCACACCTCTTATTAATCAGCTGAGGCTGGCCCTCTGACGCGATCACGTGACCACCAGGAAGACAAACGCGCACGCTCACGTTCACACTCCTTCCTCCAAACTTTACAAGGTGAGTCCGTTTTTGGTCCAGTCTTTTAATGTGGACACGCGCGCATGAAATATAAGCGCGTGATTATCGATATTTACTGATCGAGCAGGAAATAATCGATTCCTGTGCGCGCCTTTGTTCTTCTCGCTGGTTCCGATTCTCCTCCGGTCCGGAGAGAAAGACGCGCATGTTCCGTTCAAATCCACATTTCGTGAACGTTTTCCGTGTTTTGTGGTAAAACGAGAGATTGGAGCTGAAAGTTTCTCAGCTTTTGAAGTTCTGAACTTTTCTGGGCGTTGGTTCCAGCTCTGCTGACTCTTTAACTCCAGGAAGTGTCTGTCTGCCTGTCTGTCTGCCTGCCTGTCTGTCTGCCTGTGGGGGAACCTGTTGTGGTTTGTTTGGTTCTGGATGGGAAATGATCCAGTTAGGCCTCGTTTCACGGACTGATCGATGAGTTTTACATTAAGAGGACGCATTAACAGAACAAGTGAAACTTCATCCATCAGGCCTGCTGCTGACGTCACCGCAGCTCAGCTGATGTTTGTGTGTGTGTGGTCACGTGTCTGTTAACAAAATATCCACTGGACTGCTGATTCAAGATGGCTGCCTCCATCAGCCGACTTAAAAACATCAACACGGCTGTAAGTCATCAGTTTTGCAGATGCTGAGTTCACATTTGGTGTGGTAGTAGCTGAGCCTTCTGCCTGCGTCTTGTTTAAAATCTCTAACTATGTGAACTCAACACGGTCTGTTAGCAAAATATTGTATGAACAGAAGGATGGATTTTAATGAATCGGGAAATAATCAGGGCGGCATGGTGGCTCTGTTGGTAGAGCTGTTACTTCTCAGCAAGAAGGTTGCCGGTTCAAATCCCAGCCCGGGACCTTTCTAGGTGGAGTTTGCATTTTCTCTCCTGGCTGCTTGGGTTTTCTCCGGGTTCTCCAGTTTCCTCCCACAGACTAAAACATGCATGTTAGTCAGATTGATAACAATAAATTGTCTCTAGGTGAGAGAGAGAGAGTGTGAATGGTTGTTTTGTCACTGTGATGGACTGGAGACCTGTCCAGGTGTTCTTGTGATGGACTGGAGACCTGTCCAGGTGTTCCTGTGATGGACTGGAGACATGTCCAGGTGTTCCTGTGAGGGACTGGAGACCTGTCCAGGCGTTCCTGTGATGGACTGGAGACCTGTCCAGGTGTTCCTGTGATGGACTGGAGACCTGTCCAGGTGTTCCTGTGATGGACTGGAGACCTGTCCAGGTGTTCCTGTGAGGGACTGGAGACCTGTCCAGGTGTTCCTGTGATGGACTGGAGACCTGT